ACCCACATGAGACTTCATTTCTTTGTAGCACATAGGGCAAGGGTAGAAAAGGGCAGAATGTTTGTAAAGAAATTATGAGTGAGGGCTCCGGAGACAGACTGCCTGAGGTTTAATCTTGGCCCTTTGAGTTACGGTATCCTACCATGTAGGCAAACTGTAACCTCTCTGCCTGCAGTCCTCCATCATTGAGAGGAACATAAAAGCAACCACGTGGCATGTGGTCCTGGCAATTGACAATATGTGATGTAACCACTACGCTGGCACATGTCAGCCGCTACCATGACTTTTGTTTTGGGTACTTAAATTCAAGCCAGAAAGCAACCAGGTTTGTCTGAGGGTTTGCGACCTGCTTTTTCAGACTCTTAATTCTTGAAACATTCACTGGGTCATAAAATGTGCTAGACATTGTGCCAAGTGCTGTGATAAATGGTTGGGGCACAAACAAACAAATCCCGTTCTTCACCATAGATAATTTATGTTCTGTTGGGAAAAAAATGTGCCCACAAAAGGCTCTACTGTGTGGCTGAATGGTTTTCCCTAATTGTGAAATACTGTGGAACTTCAGAGATAGAAAGAAAACATCCCCTAGCTAGTAGAAGGTTCAGTTCTTGTGAAGGAGATAACTGTTGGCTAGATCTTGAGAAACAAGTGCAATCTTTTTCACACAGGGCAAAAGGTGATGAAGGGCTAGAGAGACAGAGGTGAGCATCCGAATCATGGTCTCAATCTAGGAATTCTTGATGGAGAGAGGTCCACAGAGGTAACAGGAGTGGTTAGAGGTCAGCCTTGGCGGGACCTAGCTAAAGGACTGTTCACTTTTCTTTCATTAAGATGTTAGTGCTGGGTGGTGGTGGTGCACCCCTTTAATCCCAGCATTCAGCAGACACAGGCAGATGGATTTCTGCTGGTCTGGTCTACAGAGTAAATTCCAGGACAGTCAGGACTACACAGGGAAACCCAGTTCAAAAGAGGGGGTGAGAAATTAGTGGGGTTCTAAATCTGGGATTAGAATCATGCTTTGAAAAAAGAGTTGGAGCAAATACCTGCCATAATGGCCACCTTCCTACATACAGCACAGGAAAACATTTCCTTGCCTGGCACTATGCATAGACACACTTCAAATAAGGGATCATAAAATTGAACAAAGTGTCATAATAAAACAACAGTTCTGCAAAGTCAGGGGTTTTACAATTGTGCAATACTTCTACCACAGGTTTATAGAACATGTTGTAATTATGTTCACTGTTTTCAACAAAAATGGGATTTTCAGCCAGTAGTTAGTTCCCTTCTTAAAAGATTTATTCCACATAAAGATAAGCCAGACTCCTAAGATTTCTCTTCTTCAAAAGCTGTTTCTTTACCTCCGTGTGTTTTGATAGTAGATCTGGCCCTTGGACCTGTGACACTGCATATAAAATATTTCTAACACAATATTTTGGCTAAGGGCTGTTATTTTGGTTATACAAATGCATGAGAGAAGGTCTCAGCAAAGAAAGTTTTTAAAACATTTTTTGAAAGTAAATTTGAAACTCCACTCCCAATTTAAGTCACAAAAGACAGAGAGAATAATTTTTCCAAGGCTAAATTTTGTATACATATTATACACAGGACACATGGTCCATTGCTTTCTGTTTTTCAAGCTATTTCTAAAAGTCCTTATTCGCATTCTGTCCTTTCTTCCCTTCTCTCTTTTCTTGCACTAATAAATGCTTGATAAGTGTTTCCTTTCTGCTCCATGATAAACTGTGGGTTTATATATCCATGTTCATCAACCTAGGTGTCACAACTTCACTGCCAATGACAAACGAAAATGCCCCTGAGTTAAACACCGTGATGTTTTCGTAAGAGCTCCCGTCCAATAGACTGCTTTATTTTGTTGAGACCGCCTCCCTAGAGCCTTAGTAAGCTGCCCAGGCTAGTCCTGAATTCACGATATTGTCCACCTCTGATCCCCAAGTCTAAAAATTATAGGTATGCGGTACACATCTGATTAAAGCTCACTCTTTAATCAGAGGGATTTTATTCAGAGGCAAAGTGAAAAGACAGAACAAATGTGATGTAAAATAGAATTAGGCTGTCTAAATAACACTAATCAAAAAGTCTGAATGAGACTACTCAGGGCCCTTGGCTACTGCCCCAGGTTTCATTTCATGGGTTTAGGAAAAGGAGGAGTCAGTTGCTGGGTATGGGGTAAAGGTAGTCTTTCAACTTTGATTGATGGGTTCAAGTTACATAATCCATCATTCATTGATCATGTCCTTTCCCATGATGTACTTGATTTTAATCAATGTACTCACAATTATGCATAGGCATAAGAGAGGAAGTAGGAGTGTTTTCCTCAAAGTTTATTCGAAGGACAGTTTGCCTTACTGTACATGCACCCCAAACTAGTTCAGGATGGATTGTCCTATTTCTCTTAGTTTTGAGATATGTTTTGGGATATGATTGATCACAAAGGGGAAGTTGCCAAGGGATTGTTGAGAGGAGAGACCTACTGGATTGTTTGGATGAGGGCGGATGTGAAACTCCTGTCAGGTAAGGGAGCCAGGTTGCTAAGGGCATGGTAAGGATAGATGTGTATAGTCCAAGCCAAGTGGAGTACCTTATTTCTAAACCTTCTTAATGCTTGCTTGAGACAATGTTGCCATGTATTGCAACATTACTAAAACACATATTGACAAACAATTGTGAACTCCTTAGATCAAAGGATTAGCATAATTTTAACAACAAAAATAGTAACAAAGCTAATGCATGAGAACTGTGTTGACTGACTCCATTTCTTGATGGAGTTTTCCCACATTCTTACAGAATCAAGAGGTTTTTAAAAAATTTTGGATAAGCATTTAATTGACTGATGAGAGTGCCACAATCCTGCGCACCCTATCCCTAAATTAAATAGAAGAAGAACAGTGTTTCAAACTATCATGAGAAATCACACTTAGGAGAGAAAGCACTGACCTTCAAGTCAGCTGTGGGACTTTGAACTTCAAGGCTGAACTGCTCTATCTACCTCTTGAGGAAATTAGAACACAAGATCCGTATGACATTTTGCAAGAAAAAAAAATGTGAAATCCTTAAAATCTCTTGGGGATAAATAATTTCCAGTGTAAATTTCCAACCACTAATTTGTTAGTGTGTGTGTGTGTGTGTGTGTGTATGTGTGTGTGTGTGTGTGTGTGTGTGTGTGTGTGTGTGTGTGTGATGAGTTGTACGTGTGTCTATCTGTGGGTATGCAGCTGCCCACGGAGGCCGGAAGAGGCAATCAGATCCCTGATGCGGAAGTCACAGGTGGTTGTTAAATACGAATGTGGGTGCTGGGAAACACTTCGGGGCCTCTGAAAAGGAAATATATGCTCTCAACTGTTGAGTCATCTCTAGAACCTCCAACCACTAATTTAAAAGTACTTAGACATGAAAGTAGACATAATCTCTGCAATTATGCCCTCATTCTTTCAAAACTCACATCTTTTGATGGGTTAACTAAAGAACACAGTGTTTTCTCAAGAGTCTTTGCCTTGAGCAGGGTTCTGCTCCAGTTCCACCTCCTCTGTTTTACTTACTGCACACTTTACTGAGATTTTTTTTAATTTGTTTTTGTTGTTGTTGTTGTTGTTGTTGTTTTGGGGTTTTTGTGTTGTTTTGTTTTGCACCATAGTTGAAGTCTCCAAACTATTTATTACCTGAAGTGCTCCCGAACTTGTTCTCAGAGACCGAGCTTGAGAGCACCTGAAAGAGCACTCCTGAAACCCAGACTCTTATTTTCAGAAGCAGCTGAATTCAGTTCCCAGAGTCTGGTCAGCTGTCTATCATCAAAGCCTTATTTAGCCAGGAACAGTTCCACTGCTGTTTTCAAGCAACTGTTCTGGTTAAATCAAGTGAAAATGAGAAACAGAAGCCGACTCATATTGTCCCATAGCATTGTTGTAGGGTTTAAGATAAGGACGTGAGGGCCCTGTTGGGTATCCAGGAGGCAACACAGGCTACTTGAGTTTATCTGGCTGCCCTCTCATTGTCCACCATTCCTACTGAAGATGGATATACGATCCTTCTGAGTTACCAGGCTTGCTCTTGCCTCCGAGCCTTTGCCTTTGTTGTTCTTTCTATTTCAAACCCCCATACCAATTTCTCAAAATGTTTTCTGAGATTCAACAAATGTCTTTGGGCCACGTTCAACGTACTGATACTGATGCTATGGATACATGGAGGAATGAAGCAGGACAAAGCTTGTGTCTTTTCAGGTGTTCTGCAGACACCTGAGCACCCTCAGTGCTGCCCCCTGCTGAACCACACAGTCTGGAAGGAAAGAACGTGCCTGTCCAAGAAAAACCACACTACAGCCTGGCACCAAGCAAAAGTACAACATACAATGGGTGTTTGCAAGGTGCTGAGCAAATGCTACCGAGAACTGGAATTGCGTGGTGAGAAACCATACAGCACCTTGCTGGTGTTTATAAACTAATTACGACATAGAGAGGGAAAAAAATCTGAGCCAAGAGGAACTAAATTCTATGGATATTCATTCAGCGTCTTGTTCTCAAAAGTCACAGAGCATCTGTTTGAGCCTAGATGAACGTTTAGGTTTATCCTAGATCTTCACGCTTATGCAAAGATTAAAACATTATTTTAGATAGTTGCAAGGAAGCTAATAAGAGAGAAAAGAAAATGTCCTGGAACCATCCCCAAAGATGTCCAGAGACGTTGAAAAGATAGGTTACTGCTACGTAGATGGTGCTTACAGCAGAAGAACAAATCCCAGAATGAGAGAGAAACCTAAAGTTAAATCAAATAAATCACAATTCTTAATTTATTAAGAGATTAGTGAGTAGCAAGTCAGTAATTATGTGTTGAGCTCAGAATCAGAGTAGTTACAGGAAACACACCCTCCCCAAGGACAATGACAGATTTGTTTCTAGGGGTTGAGACTGAGAGAACAAGTTAGGCATTGAGCAAAAAGGAAGAGCTCTCTACTTTGAGGCTTCAAGAGGAGGAGATACACGTACCTGAGGACTCTGTGCTCGAAGAGAGGGCTTCTTGAAGTGAGTTCAGGTGTTCTGGTCTCTTACAGAGAACTGTAGGCATGGATAAAATAGGAGGGAGGTGGGGGGACTGAGATTGGGCCAAATGCCTTCTCTTCAAAAAGATAACAGCAAAACCTATGAACAAGAAGAAGGGGAATAGGAGAGAAACTGGGTTAATTCTGGGGACTATAAAAGCTGGACACACTCACATCATATATGGGATATCTTTCAACTACATCCTTTCCTTCCTTTCAATCCACAGAAATCACTACGAGGGAAGTACGCAAGTAACGACAAACCAATATAGTATGTTATAAATGAGGTATGAGAGAGACAGAAAGCGCTCCACTTACAACTGCAGAAGGCAGACAAATGGGGGTGTTTTAAGTCGCATTTTTAAGTAGCAGTCTTCTGAATACAGAGAGGAGATGCAGAGAGGAATTTGAAACTAAGGTAGTCACGGGTATGCAGGAATGGAAATGCTAAAAGCAGTCATCAAAGCTCAGCAAGTCTGGTGTTTGTAGAGATGGCATGATGCTAAAGAAAATTTAAAGAAAAAAAATGAATGTAATATTTATAAATTAGGTGGACTGTTGCTGTGGGTTTGACGTGAACTGTCCTTCAAAGGCCCACGCGCTTCCTGAGCTCATATGCACTGCACTGCTATGAGCTCCACTCCTGTTCCCTCATCTCCGGTCATGTCTTTCCGTCATGACGGGCTGCGCACCCCTGCAATGGTAAACGGTAAACTTTTCCCCCTCTGAATTGCTTTTGTTGGATTATTTTACCACTTCCACAGAAAACTAGCTAAGGCAACCATTGTGAAATCATTATTCTCTCTTAGCGAGTAGAAAGGATGAAATGAAAGGGGGGGTGGGGGGAATGACCATGAAGTCTAATTTTATTTCCTCTAAGCTTGTGTCTTTTGTTAGCCCTGATTTTCCATGTCTGTTGTGTTTGCTCGACAATGGAAGTCCACTTCAGTCTGAGGAAGACAGAAGAGCAAACAAGAGTAGAAGACAGGATTTCCTTAATGCCGGGGCCATTGTCTCCTGCGGTAAAGCTTCAAATGAAGGCGCTGTCCGGCCCACACACAAACAGGCTTCTGTTTTCCGTCTGCATGTGGCCAGCCCACTACCCAACCGAGGGAAGAAAAATGGGAAAGAGGCCCCATTCCAGGCTCAGCACATCACCGGAAATACTGGAAAATATAGCTGGGAGTTTGAGCCTGAGCCTCCGGCGTCTTCTGTCTGTTAACCTTGACCACAGATAGAAGAGAGGCAAACCTTCTTCTGCAGACACTGCTGGTCCTCAGCTGGGAACTCCATTTACAGTCGTTCCAGATTCCCCTGGTTGCTCATCTTAATTTGATTTGACACTGGGTTCCATTGCCTTTCGCAAGAGAGATCTTGGGAGGCTTGCAGACCTGTGTGGCTCAGAGAAGATCACACTGCACTCAGCGGGGAAGGAACGGAACTGCACACTTCCAACTTTCGCAGCTTGTCTGCCGACGGAGACTGTGCTGCAACGTACTCTTGAAATCATTTGGGTGGGCCTTGTTTCTGAGGAAATAAAGAGACCTCAGAACCTCCCAAGTGACTGAAAGAATGATTTCCAGATAGTCAAGTGGAGTGGCCTTCTGGCTACATGCGCTGAATGTGCTTGGCAGTCTTTCCATCTGGCTGGCCAGTATCCTGAGGTTAGCAAAGCAGAAAGCCAATCTGTGGGGAGCTGGAAGACGTGTACATGTGCCAGAATTTTTGACAAACTCTCAGTTAAGTGTTTTCTGTGATTCTTCTCCTGAGACACAATCTCTGTGCACCAGGCACTGAGAGCTATTCCCTCCCACAACCTCAAATCTCAAGGGAAACTTCATAATTACACACATTTGGGCCAAGCATCTACCCCACAGGAAATAGATGGATCAGCCCCTGGGGATAAAAGAAAGATGCGGGGCATGAGAAAATAGAAAGCTCCTGAGTGGGAAAGGAGAGGAAATAACATATGTGAAGCCGGAGAGTGTATAGGCACATGAGAAACTCAGAGTTTCTTATAAGAATACATTGTGGGCAGTGGAGGCCTGGGTACACTGATGGGAAATTTGCATTGTTCTGTAACTGGTAAATAATTTAGTACTTGGAAACCTTAACATTCCAGGAAGGGATTCAATTTGGGATCTGTTACTGGAAATAGTGGCATGTACAATGGCTTCCAAAACAGATTGTGCATATGTAGAGGAAACCAGGATCCAAAATTAAAATCTATGTCCTTCACAAATGTTCTCTTCCCACTTTTGAAAATGTTGCCTCTCTTTTTATGACTTGCAGCATTCTCTAGTTTTATTTAGCTTCTGCATCATTTGTCAAATGTGTAAAGTGGTACATTGTACAGGGTGTCTTGATTGTCTGCTCTGCCTGAGTAGGAAAGGGTTAAAAGATGGAACCTTCTGAATAAAGGTAATTCGATCAGAGTGTTCTCTGTAACTTGGTAGGGTTGCTCACTAGACCAAGGGGCTGGAATGGCAAAGAAGACCCCAGCACTACTGCTTTAGAATTGACTTTGGTGGGCATGGCTATTTTTATTTTTGTCAAAATTGCTCAATCTAGAGATTTATGCACTACATATAAAATTCAACATTCCTGTTTCTGCAAACCACTGAGTTCATTTTTGTTTGCTTCCATCAAGAGTTGAATTCATAAACACTGATAACAATAATATCCTAAACAAATTTTACAGACAGACCTCAATATAAGCCCCAATGGGAAAAAGAAGAGGCTGAGAATATTGAGGTCAAGGATTCCTTCTTTTTGCAAGTCACATTTTCAAAGATAACAGAAACTATCAAAAAAACCCCACTACACATGAAAGCCACGGAAATCAAAAATATAGAGAGAAGCTGAAATATGTCTGGTTAATAGATTACAAAACACCAACTGAGAGAACTGGCATACAAGAGAGACGAGGCCAAGATCAAACAAGAAAAACAGCAACAAGCAAGCAAAAGCCCTGGTTAAACAGGAAAATTTCATTAGGGAACAAATGAATCGGACAGAAAGTAGTCTTGGTAAATTCCAATTGTTTTTTGTTGTTTTGTTTTGTTTTGGTTTTGTTTGTTTGTTTGTTTGACTTGGTTTGGTTTTTTGGCCAGTACAGTAGAGTACATGACTTAAAATGAAATAAAAGGAAGAAAAATGTCTGACAGGAAGAGAAAAAGAGAAAGAAATTTGGCTGCTCTTTCCTTTAAAAATGTGTTAAATAAATTCCCCATTCATCTTAATTTCTCTTGGTGGGGAATAAGTGAGGTTGTTGGGGTTCTTTTTCTGCTTGCTTTTAACCATGGAACAGTTGAGTCTCAGATAGAAATACTGACCAGGAAGGTTTGTTAGCTAAAAGAACTCACAAAAGTTCTGGAACAAACACAGGATGTTTGTATTTAGAGCACACACCCTTTGTTCTTCAGTAAGTGGTAGGAAGGCCTTCTGGTATGCTTTGTTTGAAAAAATTAAAAACAATCTCAATGAAGCTCCTCTCAGACATGTGTCATGGGCTTGTTCTTACTGAATTCTTCCACATTAGCAAACCAAGTTGCTCTCCTTTTCATTCTTTTGGCCACGGGACAGATGGAATTCACCGAAGTCTCCACCACAGACGTTCTCAGATGGTGCTAATAAAAAGAACAAACCCAAATCAGAATTGGTGGTCCACACTGCGAGAGTTGCTAAACGTCATCACAAAGCAGTAATTATCCTGTAGCAGGCTTGGTGGCTCAACGTTCCCGAAACGCAAATGTCAAGGGCACACAGTCTTCGCGACGTTGCTAATGCGAGCTTATGTTTTGTGTTGGGTGGTCTTGTGTTCTGCCTGGTGGTCTTGTTTCTGCCTGCTATGACAGCACTAATGATTTCATGGAACCCCCTCCACCCCCATCCTACATAGTGTTCACTTGTCTCCCTTTGGTAATTCACAGCCAGGCATAAAAGGCAGACTACCCAGAAATGACAGTGCAGTGTTCCAGACGGGCTCTCTCTTGGTGGTGACAGTTCCAAATCAAGCTGGCTCAGTGCTTAAGTCAAAGCATTTTTCTAAGTTCTGGTTCAAAACACAGCCTTAGATCTGGAAAATCAAGACTGATCTCCTCTTGCCTCTTCCATCAGTGCTTGTAATAAATACTCAACTGTTGGGCTTCAGCTAGCAATTTATGATAGATGGCACAAAATAGGATCCAATTCTCTCTTTCCCAGATGCAAGAAACTTATCTTTTGGTTAGAGACCTCACTACCTTTTACTGAGGGAAGGAGGACCACTTTGAAAACTTTGTTACTACATTCATTCAGGATTTATTTCCCTATGTCCCACAAAAACTAGCAAAGAGGGTTTCTAACTACACGTGGTAACAATGTAATTTCCATTCAGACAATCAAAGTGTCTAAAAATTAAAACAGGCTACCTTCCCAGCTTCAACTCTAAATCCCCTATTAGGGTGTTCTTCAGCATAAGCTGACCTATAAGTCTATGCTTACCTGGTGATCAGATCATGAATTTAACCTCAGTAGACTTCTGTGAGCCATAAGCAGATTTGGCTTTGGGGCAATCAGTGCTAGAGCTTCATTCACCTGCTCATCCCAAGGTGATCTCGCTAGCATTCACTCCAGCATTCACTAATCATATTACTGCATTTTACCTTCTGTCTCAGTTAGGGTTTCTATTGCTGTGATGAAACACCATGACCAAAAGCAACTTGTGGAGAAAAGGGTTTATTTAACTTATTTTTCCACATCATAGTTCATCATCGAGGGCAGTCAGAGGAGAACCTGGAGGCAAGAGCTGATGCAGAAGCCATGGAGGGGTGCTGCTTACTGGCTTGCTCCTCTGGCTTGCTCAGCCTACTTTCTTTTAGAACCCTGGACCACCAGCCCAGGGTGGCCCCACCCACAATGGACTGGGCCCTCCCATTTCAATCACTCATTAAGAAAAGACCCTACCGGCTTGCCTACCACCAGATTTTATCAAGGAATATTCTCAGTCAAAGTTCTCTCCTCTCAGATGATTAGATTGTACCAAGTTGACATAAAAACTAGCTGAATGTAGCTGAATTTTCATAATCATTTTACTAACAAAAAATGAAGTTCAGATTACCTTTATAAAGCCAAAGAAATGACATTTTGCCTGGCAATTCAGGGAACTACCATAACATTCATAAGAAAAGCCTTCTATAGACACTGTCATGCCAATTCACTGCACCCTTCTTACTTCATTAACAGTTAACAAACTTCCAGTTTGTTTCTTTAAAAAAAAAGCCACTATCTAACATGTTCATCATAAACATAATGTCGATGCCTGGAGCAAGCACAGAGTTAATACATTTATTTATTAAGGAGATTATTAACCTAATACTTGGCCTCATTGTAGGGAAAAAGAGGTAATTATAATAATATCAATAAGAGCTTTTTTCTCCCAAGGTCTTCCTCACTTAGCATGTGGCTGGGCACAGAGAAGATGTCCAGTAGATTCTGTTTGATTAGTCGGTTTTTCAAGTGTTAGTGTGACCGGAAGAATAAGACTACTGAAATGAGTGCTTGCCAACAGTCCAGTCGATGTACCGTTTGCTCTTTTAGGAAATAAAAGAACAACACCTGCCAACACTGCCAACACCTTTCTTCCTCTCCACTTGGGACCAAGAAGATTCCAGTCACAACTAGAAGGAATCAAAGTGAAAGAATTACATACCACTCCAACCCTCCTATCCTACTGGCAATCCTGAGACACGTGGTTTTTACATCAGGAGAAGATATATTAAAAAGAGGATCATAGTGACTGAGGTTGAGTACTTCTGCTCTCCAAAGAGAAGCAGTAAGGTATGCTTAGTCCTTAACAATTGTCAGTTACAGCTCAGGATCTATGCAAAAGGAATATACGAAAGCATTCTAATTATTTTCCCACAACAGCCTACAAGACAGAAGTGTTAGACATCTATTTAAAGGTATTGAACCAGTTACTGAGTGTACAGTGAGAAAATTGTATACCTCCCATTATCAACTTATACTCTTCTACCACTGGGTAGCTCAAAGAATGAGCTCAATTGTGGATTCAGAGGTGAAGGCAACCGATAGAAAGACAAATCTGAGAGCAGAACAGTAAAGCATTTTAAGAAACAAAGAGTTAGAGTTCGTCAGGCTCATAGACAAAATTAGAAACTTGGGATTCAGCATTTGTTCAACAGACTCAGAACTTAGGTCTCCAAGGAGTTGAGTATCAAGCTAAGAACTGCGAAGCACAGCTGTGTGAAGAAACTACAGCTTTATGAAGGACACTCACTGTATGGAGTATGTAAAGATAAAATAAGCATGTGGATTGGTACAAGAGAAGGCAGAGGTGCTCATGCTTGAAGGAGAGGCTCATGGCACTGCATTATCCCCTGAAAGGCTCCAGGGAAATCCTAGGGGAGATGAGGTTTAAGGTCAGTGTGAAATAGAAGGAATGTAAAGAGGCATGATGGGGATAAAAAGCACCCCAGATGGAATTAATATAAGAAAGGCACAGACATGGGAAATCTATATCTATTATAGAAATGGAAATGAGCCCCCAACTCTGCTTCTTGTCTAGCGTTTAAGGTATGCAATGGAGAAAAGCAAGAAATGAGGCAAAAGAGGCCAAAATGTGGCTAGCTTCTAGGCAGCCTGTGTGGAGGGCCGCGACCACATTCTCCATTGCTTCAAGGAACAAAGGTAGAGATTGACCTCTGTGACCCCAAGGTGTGGTAGTACATGCCTTTAGTCCTGACGCCTGGGAGGCAGAGGCAGATTGACCTCTGTGACCTCAAGGCGTGGTAGTACACGCCTTTGGTCCCGATGCCTGGGAAGCAGAGACAGGCAGATCTCTGTGAGTTCAAGGTGATGTAGCACACGCCTTTAATCCCAGCCCATGTGCTTGTTAACTCTCTACCGCTGCGTCCCTGCCTACTCCCGAGGCATCATCTGGGATAATGGGCAGCGGACCAATTCAAGAGTGACACGTCAGAAACGAGGACTGTTTCCTTTATAAGGGCTGGGTTCCCCTCATTCTGGGTCTCTGCCATGTGGCTTATGCTCTAGCTCCCAAGAGGATTAAAGCCTTTCTGCAGAAGGATCCTAAGTGCCCCGCGTCGTTCTTGCTGGCGAGAAGGTAGCGCGGGGCAAGCCTGTACTGTTAAAACATACTATTTAGACTCCAAAAAACAGTCTTTGGAAGCTACCTAAAATACGAGGATGGGACATAAATTTGGGCATCACTATAAATGCTAGTAAACATCTTTGGAAAGAATATGGCAGTTGGAATGTTGTGTTGCCTGTCTGGGTTCATTAAGGCTATAATAGGAAGCACTAAGGTAACTTATAAGTAGCAGAAATGTATTTATAGCAAGACTGGAAGTTGAAGAGTCTAAGACCAAATCAGATTTGACCTGGTAAAAATTTTATTCCAGTATAATAGGTAGTAACCATGTTCTCCCAAGGCAGAGGAGCAAGGAATTGTAGAGCATTAACACCCTTTGTAAAGGTATCCCAGGACCACTTTCAAAGGCTTCGTCTCTTAATACTATCACTTTGGTATTAATATATTAATTTTGAGTGGATATAAATGTTCAGACCTATAAGCAGATGTTTCTGTCCCACCTGCCAGTTCCCAAATAACTGACTCAGAGGTTGAATATGAATTATAAATGCTCAGTCTATAACTCAGACTTCTAACTAGCTAACTCTTACACTTTAAGTTAACCCATATTTTTCTTATCTATGCCTTGCCATGCGATTTAGTACTATTTCCCAGTCTGGCATGTTCTTCCACCTAATCTGATCCTGCCTGCTATAGGGCAGTCAGCTTCTTTATTAAACCAATCACAGTGACATATATTCGCACAGTGTAGAGGATGATTTCTCATCACAGACCATAGCAAAGCTATGGAATGTGATAGACACCCATTTCAGATCACTTGACCGTTCGTTCTGTAAAGATGACTGTGGAAGGATGAGAGCACAAACTGGGACTGAGGTATGGATGACTCGTAGAACAGTAGACTGAGGTAGTCTACTGAGGTAGACCAGTAGTCTCAGGAGTGGAAAAGACAGACACAGGACAGTGAGTGACTCAAGGACAGCAGTCACACATAGAACCCAATGGCAGAACAAGGACAATGAAAGTAGAAGAAAATATCAGGAAATTAAGAGATTTGGGGTCTGGAAACTCTTCCAGGGAGAGTTCCTCTAATGAGAGCCTTTAGACAAATGGGACCTTGTAGCATTTCCTCATAATTCTTCCAGATCGTCCTTCTACGTATCAAAGAGACTATGAGCAGCATTTTTGGTCCCATCAGCAGAGCAGACCACAATAACAGACTAGTCCTCCAATGGTATGGACTCCCTTCTCAAGATTGCTTCACAAATTGCTCATTGTTCAGCATGCAGTCTGTGAACAACTACCATTTGTTAGGACAAAGTCTATGAACTCACAAGAGTTTTGTAAATAGATTGAAAAAATGACTACCTTTCTGGATTTTTTTTATAAAAATAAAATTGATGGGGGATATCCTTCTGTATCTGTGTTGTTTTTATTGATTGATGAATAAAGCTATTTTGGCCAATGGCTTAGCAGAGTAAAATCAGATGGAAAATCCAAACCGAGATATAGAGAGAGAGCAGGCAGAGTCAGAGAGGCCGTGTAGCTGCCAAAGGAGAAGGACACGGGAACCTTACCGGTAGGCTGCAGCCCCAATGTGATACACAGATTAATAGAAATGGGTTAATTTAAGATTAAAAGGTAGCTAGGAATATGCCTGAGTCATTGGCCAACAGTGTTGTAATTAATATAGTTTCTGTGTGATTATTCAGGTCTGGGCAGCCGGGAAATGAATGAGCAGTCTCTGCCTACATAAAATGTTGATATAATGATTAATTCCAAATGTAAAATGTAATTGAAGGCAATGAATCCTCCAAGATGGATAAAATAGAACATTTCATCGCAGGAGGATTCTAGAAGCCTTTTTAATAAGGACATTACCACCATTCATAAAGGTCCTCCTAGACCACTTTCAAAGGTTCTACCTCCTAATACTATCCCTTTGAGAATTAAGATAAGAATTTTGAGATGTAACTTAAACAAATTGTACAGTGTAGTTGATGGTAATAAATCCTATAAAATAGGTAAAATGAACCAGTCATGAGGCTCACAAGGATGAAGTTGGATTTGCAGCAATACACAGCTCTGAAAATGTAGTCAGGGCAAGCCTGCTTGAAGCATGTAATTTGAGCAAAACCAAAAGAAACACAAATTGATAATGTATGAGGGTATCTGAAGACAGAATACCTCGGGTAGAACTTCTAGCTCATTAAGGCAAGAATGTCCTTGCTGTGTTCTAGAATAGCAAAGATGAGACCCATGTGACTATGGCAGTAAGTTAGAGAGAGAATATGAGAAGACAAGATTTCTAAAAATACAGAAACAGCAGATTATCAAGGCTCTTTCATTTCTAGGGTTGGCTTTTTGCGTGGCTGGTATATGTAGCTACTAGAGGAGTTTAGATCAAAAGGTGACGTGATCTTATTTGTATTTTAAAAGCATAGCTGTGGCTTCTGTGCTGAAAATAGACTTTATAGAGCAAGTGTGGAATCAAGGAGACCACTTGGGAGGCAATTATAGTAATCCAAGTGGGGGAAGAGCATGCCTTGGCTCAAATGAATGGTAATAAAGATAGTGAGATGTGCTGTGATTCTAAAGACATTCTGATAGTAGTGCCAACAGGATTTCGTGATGAATAAGATACAGACTCAAAGGAGTCAGCATGATTCGATATTGTTGATCCAAGTAACCTTTAAGATAAAGACACGGAAAATTGAGGTGTGGAAGATTACACGGGGGCAAATTTAGACTGTGATTATGAATTCAACCCTTATATAATATGGATCTATGAATACATGGGTATTTGGAATTCAGGAGAAAAAGGCTACACACAAATTATGGAATGTAGTATATAATGGCATTTAAAATTATAAGAGAATTACAAGAAATTAAAAGAAAATTATTAAGAGAACAGATAGAGAAGAGTATCTGGGTTTTTATGACATTAATCATACTAAAAGAGGAGGGATAGCTAAAGTACTATGCCAATGCACACAGGAAGACAAAAAGAACTGGAATACATTATTTTTAAGCAAAGTAACCCAGACTCTGATGCTTTTCTCTTACATGTGGATCCTAGTCTTTGTTAAATATGCATATCTAGGTGGGAGTAAATGTGAAGAAAGTCCAGAAAACTAGAACGAGGCTGTGTGACTGTAAAAAAGAGAGACTCTAAGAAGGTGGTGGTGGGAAGGCAACAATAGAGCAAGGTAGAAATGGTGAATACTTCTTGGTGAAAGGACCAGGAAAGAGGTCATACTGCAAGATGCAGGGGACAGGAACCTAACAAAACAAAACACATATGAAAAATACTGAATTGCGAAAAAGTTAATGAGCTTAAGAGTTACAATACTATAACATTCTCAAACAATTAAATGAGTTAAAGCTAGTCAAATTATGAAATTGATTTTTTTTAGAAATTCAATTTAAGTAATCTTAAGTCATATGGAATTAAATACATTTGGAGGTATAGATTTTGGAGGGCTTAGGTCGTGGAAAATGAACTCAGATAAACTGAAACAAATACACAAATTTTCAAAATACGTTATTGAATAGACTTCAAAATTTTATAATTAAAAAAAACAGGTTTTGTGAGTCACCTTTCCCAGATAAGTGCGGCTCTCACCCCTCATCAAAACCTCCCTTTACATCAAATGGAGACTTGAAAATCACAACTAGGTACAATGCAGAGATACACTCAGTATAGGTAGCCCGGTGCCAAGAGAAATATCTACATTACAGCTTGGGCTTCCATGGAAGAGGAAGCAGAAAGACTCCAAGAGCCAGAATACCAGGACGTCTACTTTGAAACAGTCTCTCATAAAAATGACTGCATGAACAAGATCTGAACAATGCTAGTATCAGTAGACACAGTAATGCTAAAGGGGGTATCTCTTGGGATCACACCCCTAGACCAGGGACCAAAAGCACTGATGACTGCTGAGAGAGAGGGAGAATCAGCTTCTCTTATCCCTAATTGGTTGTTCAATATAAAGTGCTTAGCCCTGAAACTATATACACACAGACAAGAACAGCAACAATACCAAAACCAGCCAGACTCAGCAGGTTGCATTCATATATTTGTGCATATATATGATTGAGGTTTATGTTGGGGTGCCAACCCCCTAAACCTCTCAGAAATCAGAAGGGCAACTATATCAGGTAAAAACTGACTAAAAGATCTGAGGGTAAATAAATTAATTCACATATTTTTTATCATATGCCATTTATTCTTTCTATGTTCTCTCCAATGTTCTCTGGATGTTTTCCTTTCGGTGTTTCTCGCTGTTCCTTGCTGTTCTTTTTTGATGTTTCTTCTTCATTGTTCCTCCAAATCCCACAGTTTCCAGTTTATTTATGCACACAGACATAGCTAGCAATTCCACAGGCAATAACAATGGTACCAAGCATACATTTCTTAGGGCTAACAAGATGGATGGAGACTGACTAAATAGGTGCCTATGTCTCAGAAAGGTGCCTCACATACTCAGTAAGTACGGGGGCAGGGGCAGAGGAAGAGAGAGAGAGAATTTTATGTGTATACTATGCAATGAATTATGCCTATTTCCTTTCTTATACAGAATATGTGGTACCCTCAGTACATCAGCACATGGCTACATTTGTAGTAGGGTCTTTAAAGAGGTAACTGAGCTAGGATGGGGAGTGTTAGGGTGACTTAATCCAATCTGACTGGTTTGCTTATAAGGGGGAAAAGATTCTGTCAGATAGAAAGACAACAGGAATGTCCCTACACATAGGAAACAAATGAGAACATCACAAGAAGACAGCCGTATGTAAAACAAGGAGAGAGACTCCAGTAGAAATGAAATCTGCCAACTGAATTGGGAGAAATAAATGTTGATTGTTTAAAGCCATCCAGTGGCTGATATGTCACCCCTAGAAAATGAGTGTATTTCATTTTTAAGTTGTAAGAAACAGTAACATGCTTGTGTGCTTTGAGGAAATTATCTAGATGCAAAAGCTGTATTACCAACAAGGTGGAAGTGATTGATGGAAGGAGTGTTTGTTGAGGTGATGCATGCCTTCTTGGATGTGCACAAAAGAGAACCCTTTTACACTGCTAGTGGGAATGTAAACTAGTCCTAAGAAAGGCTAAAAATAAATGTACCATATGATCTAGCTATATTACTTCTGAGTGTTTGCCTAATAAGCACCAAGTCAAAATACCACTTGCCATTAAGTGTTTATTATAGAACTACATACAATATTTGAATTATAAAATTAGCCCAGGTGTTCAATAACAAGTTTGCACGATACACAAGAACACGAACCATACTTTGTAACCATACTTACATAAAGAAAAAGATGAAGATGTGCTACTTGTGGGCAAAGAGAGACAACTGGAGATAATCATACTGAGTGAAGCAAGCCAGACTCAGAAATAAAAATATCATGTTTTTTCTCACTGTGGTTCCTAACTTTTATACGGTCACATAAAATCATATATGTGTAGATTAAATGAGAAAAGCAGAAAGAAGTGCTTGTTTGGAAGGTGTAAGTGGGTGGGATCTGGCCTCAGTCACAGCTCCTAAAACAAACATTTCCTGCTCTCCTAACAGGTAGTTATTGCTGCTGAATGGTAAACTTGAACAGAGGACGAGACACCACCAACCAGGATTTCCATTCCAGAAAAAGAGAAATGGGTTTAAGTGGAATGAAATGAATCGGAATGGAACTTGAAAAGAGACTGAGAAAAAGTCTGAGTTTGGAAACCCAGTCAGTTAGAGATGTTTTGTGACCGTTGAAACTGAAATAATTTAGTAAGACCCAGTGAAAGAGAAGGAATGTCTATAAGCGATTCTTCTCTTTAGGACGATATCTTCCCCAAAAGAGTTTACCGCTGTTTCTTGCAACAGCATCCATTTTTTGAAAGGCAAAATGCAGAAGGTACTTACCAAGGTGCCATCATTTAGGCTGAGGAAAGTGGTTCAACAAAGCGGAAGATGGTCAAGAGAAAGTCTCAGGAAATGTAATGCTGAGTGAAAACGGCTCTGCGCCTTCCGGATGTTTAACTCTGGGCTAGAACAAAAAGATAATGAAGCAATCACACACGGAGCTTTGAGACTAGAAAAATGAACCATTTCACTACGAAGTCTCATGATACCCCAGGAAGCCAGGAAATTTATAAAGACTTGCCCCACTGCAATGGCAGAAGACGGTTAGTATAATGAGCCTAATGGAATGGATTAATACTAATGATATTTTGAATTGGCTCCACATGTCACAATGAGTCAATACTAAAATAAGGACTGGAACCCAGGACTTCTGGCTCCTAGCCAGGACGCTACTCTCATAACTGCAGTCTCTGTGATTTTTGTTTGGATCCTGAGCTCATTCTCAGTCTTTCTCGTGTGCTCTCTGGCTTTCTCTCCCTCTTTTCTCCTCCCCCACCTTTCTCTCTCACATCCCACAGGGGACCCCTGTGCATGTCATCCATAAAGCCCTCTACAGTGCTGCCCTTTTGTTGCTCACTGCTTCAAGTACCCAAGGAGATATTATGGCAGCAAACCGGGGCTCAACATTAAGGGAGACAATTGAAGGTCACTCAGCTGAAAATAATTCATATTTATCCACAGCTTCCTTTACCAGAGCATCTGGTTTCCATTAATCAGCATGGTGTCCTCTGGTTCTTACCGTGGTGGCCTGTAACATGAGGGGCCAGCTTGTTGGGGTATCTGTCCCACCCAGTACCCCACAACCGGCATACCCCAAGGAAAAATCACACACAGGACTCCATAAGATTATAAACTGATTGGCCCATTAGCTCAGTCTTCTTATTAACTAATTCTTACATCTTACGGTAACCCATAATTCTTGTCTGTGTTAGCCATATGGCTTGGTACCTTTTTCAGCTGTCAGCTCACATGTTGCCTCTCTGGTGATCTGGGCAGGAATGGTGGAGGGAGCTTCCTGTTTTCCCAGAATACTCCCAGTCTCTTTGCTCCACCTCTACTTCCTGTCTGGCTTTCCCACCTATACTGCCTGCCTGGCCAATCAGCGTTTTATTAAAATATGATTGACAGAATACAGACAATTCTTCCACACCATTTCCCTCTTTTTTTTTTAAACAAAGGAAAATACCCATAGTCCATTTGTTGGGAATGTGGACGTAGTATTTCAGGCTACTTCCTGCTGGTTGGGGGCGCTGATAGTCTTATGGGGACCTAAAGAAAATTTAGAGTTATAATCAAGTCCTGACTGGAGTATCCTGTGAGTCTTGATCATCTCAGGCAGCAGTCTTGAATCTGTTCTGGATGTAGAATTCAGATATCTGGGCCATCTGTTCCTGTCAGAGATTTCTCAGGTGGCCTTCCTTGATCATACTGAATTTTTCTTAACTCAGAATGAATCCACAACCTCTCATTTTCTGTGGAAACAAAAGCAAAATCTCTTCTCCAAAGTAACATACCTTTTGACTTCAGTTTTGAAGCCAAGGTATTTTCAAAATACCTATCTTGGTTTAGTTCAGCAGCATTTATAAACAACAGTCCTTTAGCAGCCGTTGCTCCTTCCTCAGCATTCAAACAATTCAAAGAGAGAATAATAGCATACAGTATCAAGATTCTCTGTATATTTTCCATCTTTGTGTGGCTTTACTTTAACCTCTATTTCTTATATTTTTACTTTTACTTTTTGAGACAGGTAGGTTCTCTGTATATCAGACCATCGAAGAGGCAGGATGTAACCTGCCCAGCTGAGAAAGGTACTGAGCCGTGTGGCTAACATAGATAAGGATAATGGGGTAACAAAAGTTATAAGAGCTAATAAGTAGCCTGACCTAATGGGCCAATCAGCTTTATAACTTATAGAGATCTTTGTTTGATTGATTTTCTCTGGGACTCGCCAACTGTGGGGTACCGGGCGGGAACAGATACCCCAACAAGCCGGTCCCTCATGTTACAGTGGCCTATGGCAACCACATTTTTGCTAAAGCAGATGAGTATTTCCTTACATCTGTTGCTGAGATGTCTGAAACTCCTGCTTGTACCAAGCTGTGTTCAGCATTAAGATCGTCACTGAATGAAGCTTTGGGGTGTTAGGTACCACTGGTGTAGGATGGTGTAGGACTGCCACTGGGCAGCCTCTCTTGGCTTGTATGTCCACGGACATAAACAGTAGAATTACAAATAAGGAAAGCTAAGGTCTGTGACTTCATCTTACTGATTCCTTCTAGAACTTGACATTCCAGTGTCATTTGTATTTATTCTATTTATGTAGCTATGTTTTGCTTTTATACCCCTGGATGTAGAAACTACTGAATCACTAAAGTGCTGTGCATCCCTGTCCTGAGTAGGTGCTATTTCTTCATATGCAATATCATTTTGTTTTACTGGTAAGCCTGGGGGTGGAATTCAAGACCCTAAGCATGTTACAGAAATACTCTACCACTGAGCAACAACATCTGGCCTCAAGGAACTCTTTGCTAGTTCTTTTTACTTTCGTGTGTGTATGGTAATCGCACCGCACTATGAGTTGACTTACATCTCTATTTAAACATAAACTTTCTCAGCCTGTTTATTAGTAAATGTTCATCCTCCTCTGCCAGACATAGAGGTGCACATCTTTAATCACAGCACTCAGGAAGCAGAAGGAGTCCGTAATCCGAGTTCAAGGCCAGCCTGGTCTACAGTGCTCCAGGACAGCTAGGGCTATGCAGAGAAACTGTCTTCACTCTCCCACAAAATTCTTCCTCTAGTTTTACCTGATCATCATCTATGAAACATACCACACAATTGAAATGAAGACATGAGAAAAGAAAGGTTTAGAAACAAACATAGCTTACCAAAAGCTAAGGCAGAAAAAGTTCTGTAAGCATAAATGTTGAGGAACAGAATTTTTAAATATAATACATAGCGGTGAACTTATCTTAGAATAAATTTTGTTGCTGTTATCAATAGCAGTAGTTGATAACCAGTGTTGTCTATAAATGTGTTTATTAACTTATTTTATGTGTGACATATGTTTGAATGCTTATATAATCCACAGCACACAGGTGGTGGTCAGAAGACAACTTGCAGGAGTATGTTCTCACCTCCTACCATGTGGTTTCATTAGCAGAGCTATCTCAGTAGACCATTAAGTGTTTTCTACATGCCAGAATGAATTTTTTAAATGCAGTGTCTTACTTAATTCTCACACAAATCTAAAAATAATATCCTTGTGTCCATTTTCAGGATGGAAACTGAGTCTTAACAAATGTGTTCATTGAGTTTCAACAGGAAGCTGATGATTCACTCAAGATAGGGGAACATTTACCAAAAACTTTACCAGAGAGCAAAAGATGTCAAGGATTAACACAGTACCTTGCTGCTAGGAGTGCTGGGACCATTGCCATCCCTAAACCTGTTGGAAAGATGGGAAAGATCTCTAAAATCCAGAAAGAGAGTTGAGTAAAGAAAAACTGTCTTCCAGAAAATCTTTTTTTTTTGCATCTTTGCAAAAAGATGCAGCCTGTCTAAAGGAAATCTTAGCAAAAAGTGGGGAGCCATACACCCCACATCTCATTCTCCACATTCTCTGCTGAGGCTCTTTATTAGCTGAAATCAGCCAGAGTGCCAGATTATGGGAGCATGAGGTTAGACTGCAAGAATAGAGCAAGATTAAGAGAATAATAAAATATAAAAACTTGTAAAAGAGTAAAATGTAAAAATAGTAAAAAATATGATCTTTCCATTTTTTTTCTTTTACAACAGGTCACTGTGTGGGTGAAAGTCCCTAAGGACTGAAGCAGAAATTTAAATCCACAATCACCTGACTTTGGAACCCAGACTCTGGACCAGCATGCACTACTGCCAGTGGTTTTAGCAGAGGGCATGACCCGTATGAGAGGCTCAGAGAGGGGATGTGAAAGGAGATGGATTTTTCTCTGCAGGTACCAATAACTTCTGGAAATACTTTCCCCTGTGTCTAGTCTCTAGCTTCTCAAAAAGCATCTGCAGTAGATGTGCCCTCTTTCTCACAAAGTATTTAATATTGTCAGCTATATTGTTCTGACCTATCCTGGAACAGAAGTGAGGCATCCCACCTTACATTTAAACACTGTGCCTGCTCTTACAGAATTTACAGCATTGTGGAGAGCTGCCTGCCTTTATGACACTCACTGTTAATGCAGGGTCAGGGAAAAAGGAGCTATTGTACTTTCTATTATTAACTTACTATTGCTACTTCACCCAAGGGTTCCTCGTGTGTGGAAGGAGTCACTAAAACACAAAAGAAATTATTAGCAATGTACCAGGGGATTCTTCCATACTGTAATTTTCGGTCAACGACGCATGATGGCAAACAGTGTACATGCTGACAAGTCCCTGGAGGGTCAGAGAGATGCACACAGTAGCTTACACAGCAGTCAGAAATTTCCATGACAAAGTCAAAGGTAATAAACAGAACTCTAAGGTGGAGAACGAAGCAAGAGAACAGGAGTCAAGCATAAAATGCAGAAGAACAAGAGTTCAAAACTCGGTTTTTAAGGAGCAGTGTGGAAAGAAGTCCGTAATTACAACAGCACTTCTGACTTCACTGACATAGTACAATGGAACATCAGACTGAATTTAAAATTAAATTGTCAAACTAAAATTTCAACAGGTCAGAAAAACACGGTGCTGTTTATTTCTTATAACGTGGAATACAAAAAGAAATGGAAACCATGGGAAAAGATTTGAGAGACAAGTCTGGAACGTGCAACTGATAAGAAAGGAATTTAAGAAAATCAATAATTTAAAAGAACCCATTCTCTTTGGGTGGATACCTTGTTCAGCCTAGGTGTAGTAGGGAGGGCCTTGGACCTTCCCCAAACAATGTGCCTTACCCTCTCTGAGGAATGGATGGGGGTGGAATGGAGCTTAGGTGGAGGGGATGGGAGGAAGGGAGGGAATGGGAACTGGGATTGGTATGTGAAATGGAAAAAGATACTTTGTTTTCTTTTAAAAGAAAAGAAATGTTAAAAAAGATAAAATAAAGCTTTTTAAACAAAGGGCAAAGTCAAAGGGATTATCTTATCAAATATGAAGCGACATAAATTT